AGAGAGAGAGAGAGAGAGAGAGAGAGAGAGAGAGAGAGAGAGAGAGAGAGAGAGAGAGAGAGAGAGAGAGAGAGAGATTTCCCCGATGATTGTGTGTGAGCAAGGACGAACCTTCTCCTAGTATGCCGCCCTCCTTCGGGCTCCTTGCCATCTCGAGTGATGATGACTACTGGTAGACAGTGGTAGTGCATTGTCTGAGTGCTGTTCAGGTTGGGTCTGGTCTGGTTGCTTGATTTCAGGCTTCCGCTGAATTGTATTGCTATTCCTCTCTACTCTCATGATTCTTGTGTCCACCCCATGCCTATCTGAGGATGGACAGGCATACCACAACTTGGGTCCAGAGCCCGGTTGATCTGTGTGGCTCAGGGGCAGGTCCACTGTGGCCGCGTCCAGGTCCCCCATGCTCCAGAGCGAGATCCCCTCTTGTCCAGGGCCAGGTGCATTGTGGTCTGGTTACTGTGCTGTGGTCCACGGTCAGGTGCCCCGTTCTCCAAGCCCAGATTCACTCTGGTCCACAGCCAGCGTGCCCCAGGGGGGCAGGTCCACTCTGGTCTAGGATGAGGTCCACTGTGGCCCAGCGCCAAGTCCATTTTGGTCCCCGTACTGCAGCCAGGTCCACCGTGCTCCAGGGGCAGGTCCACTCTGGTCCAGTCAGGTTCACTGTGGCTTGGCGACAGGAGCATCATGGCCCGGGACTGCATCCACTCTGGTCCTGATCCAGGTGGACTGTTGTCCCGCACCTTTTGTTAATTGTAAGTCGTTCATCCGCCATCCGGAACAGGCCTTGTGCAGCGGCTGTCTTAGACTTCACGTTCAGAATGCCTGTTGATGGTTCTCACCCTTTCCGGCAACTGGGAAGTCAAGTAATACAGTACCCTCACACGGATATGATATAATGGGCCAGAAATGCTGCAATTACTCTACAGCATACTTGCAACCGCACTGTGCGCCGTACCGTTGGGTGCGCCCCACGGCGTGCGGTGCGGCACCTGCTCGTGTGCCGTACCAGTGGCGGCAGTTTCCCTTTTTTTTTTTTTTTGCTGTTTTTGTAGATACTGAAGAGTGCAACACCTAAGGAACTGATCTTTTCCAAGTACAGTAGTACATATTTTTCTTTCCGTCCAATTGGGCATGAAAAATAGCCTCTGCAAGGAAAATGAGCGATAGCGAACTTCAGATACGAAGCAGCATCATACACATGAGACCAGATAGTCGTGACCTCGAACCAAAAGCAGAATTGCAACACGAGTTCCACCAAATAAGAGCACAGCAAAAGCTCATAAGCGACCATGTTGGAATAGTCTCATCATCATCAACAAAGAACCAATGTCGACATCCTATCTGGCGCTCTGCGCCCAGACTACAAATGGCAGATCCTATCTAGCCTATCTACAATGGCGCTGGTGATGTCAACAGCTCCCCGAAGTACGAGCAGATCTCGGCCAATGCCGTTCGCCTCAAGCACCAGGTATCTCTCTCGTATCACTCACAACCTCGATCCCCCACTCAAAGATGCCACATGCACCCAACTTGACCCAAGGACCACCATGCGCCCCATCCAGCTTAGTGCAGCGCAGTTCGGCTATGGCTGCCTGCTCTCCCTGCTCGTCCGTGAGCGTGTGAGCACTGGCCAGCGTTTAGCGCAACATGCAGCCAGTGCCCGAATGCTGAATCTGGAGGCAGGCCCTTTCCTAAATGGAAGTGGCCTGCCTGCTGCGTGCGGCAAGGCTGCGCTGGGGCCCAGCCCAGAAGCTTCCGGTAGGCCCTGAGAGGCTGAGCCTCAGTCCAGACGAATCAGGCCCAGGGCCTGTGGTGGTTACCCGTGCCCAACTGCCCACAGCTTGTGTTCGGTCCATGTTGCGTATCTGGCCCAGGGCCTGCCTCAGTTACATACGATAAAGGCAGCCTGGGCGTGGGCGCTTTCAACCAACTGGCGCTGCGCAACTGCCTGAATTTTCCCCAGTTGCGTGGTAGTCCAAAACAGTCCTAGGTTGGGCCTGCCTTCACTCAGGTGGCCGACCTTGCAGATAGTAGGGCCCAGTAGGGCTTTCCGAGGCCTTGTGCCTCGCACCTCAAAAAGGTGTCTGGGAGAGAGAAGGTTATCCGACCCCCCATTTTTCAGGTCAATTTATAAGAAAACCATAAGGCCATTTCAAGCAAACTCCACACCAATGTATAGAGTGCACTTCTTACTAACATATTAAAAAACAAAAACAAAAAAAAAACAAAAAAAAAACACATAAAACAGCAACCCAAAAGTGCATTTTCAGGCAATTTTGGCATGAAACACGTCATCCAAATTTCAGGATTTTCAGGCCTCCCAACAGCACAAATTCTTTTTTTTTTTTTTTTTTTTTTTGAACAGGCCCTTATGGTCCTGGCTCGATATCCATTCTGGGGAGCGTCAGTCCGGTTCCTATTCCCCCGGCAAGTCAAAATTGAGTACATAAGATTACCCACTCACGCTTCCTTCCGTTTGGCCGAAGGAACCCTGAACAGCATTGATTGCTCCTACTACGGAGGATTGACTGTCAGCTTGCCCAGGCCGCTCGTTCCTCTCAGGCTTCTAATCAGTGCCTGTCAAATAATTCTTTGCATAATGAGAACAGCGAAGGGGTCTGCTGCCAGCTATGATGTTTGTCATTGTCCTTCTCKCTGTACYYTTTGAGTACTGTTGTTGATCGACGCTCAGCCCCTCCTGCCAGGTCCCATGGTGGGGCCCAATAGACGTTAAGGTGTAGCCTGGTGCCATTTCTTCCATCGCAATCTGTTATCTGCTATCGTTGCCACCTTGCCCTTTAGCAGCCATTCTCTCTTGAATGTCTGCTTCCTGGTTGCTTGTCTTTCTGGTCTGTGTTGCGTAGAGGTCACTATTCTCCGCCATCTGCTCCTGATTTCCGTCTCTGCCATGCTCAGCAGTAGAGACCACATTTCTTCCTTTGCCACCTCTGATCCCTCGATTGTCCGGGTGCACCTTCGCTTCCATATTGCCCACAGGCCCAATTTCCTGAGCAAGTGGAACCAGACTTCCCTGCTGCACTTGATGTTGCTGGGAGTGTTAGATAGCAGTAAGATGGAGAGGGTAGGGATGTTGAGGGGGGGGGCGTTGAGAACAGGATCGACCATAGCTCCCGGATCTTCTTCCAGATCCATGTAGCTTCTGGACAGTGTAGGAGGCAGTGGGGGATGTCCTCGGGTGAGTTGTTCTTGCACATTGAGCAGCATTCCGAGCTCTCCAGGTCGGAATGCTTCCTTCTTGCATGTAGCCATTGGTTGACGGGAAGGGCTGTGTGTGCTATCAGCCATTGCATGCTGCGTATGCGGTTTGGGCGGATGCTAAGGTACTTGGTCCAAGGGATGGTGATAGGGGTCGCAGGGTCGAGATGAAGGATGGTTCTCCACCTCTCCGCCAGCCTTGGGTTTGGGTCAGTGGTTTTTAGCCCGAGGTTATAGCCAAACTTTACGTCGTATTCCGTTATCGCCCTTGGTTTCCCGTTGGTGCCCTGGTCCCATACCCACTCCTTTGGGTCGAATTCGAGGTTCTCGATGCTCAGTTCCGGCTGGAATATGAGCCAGGGTATCCTGTGGGAGACTCTTACCTTCCTTAGCAAGAAGGTTTCAATTTGTTCATGCTGTGGCGCTTTGTTTAGGGCCTCTAGTTCGTATAGGTTGTGTCTGGCGATGGGGTAGGAAATGAAGTTGGCGTGGTAGTTAGCTGGGTGCGGTTTGGACATGAACCGGTAGGCTCTTGTTGGCGGGAACTGTGTGGTGAGTAATCCCCAGTCGCCTGGTTTCCACGTGTGTGTCTCTTTTAGGAGGGTCGTCCATGAGGGGGGGATGCTGTGGAGAATTTCCGATAGGTTGCTGGACAGCGAGTGACAACCCTTTAGGGTGGTGCGCAGGTTCTGTTCGTTGAGCCACTCTTGTTGGTCTTCGGACCACAAATGTTTGATCTGCCATACCCTCGT